CACCCCCCCCCCCCTTCCCCCCCCGCTCTTAGACAAAGGTCAAGGAAGGGCGTACCTTGTAGTTGGCAGCCATGTTGAATGTTCTCGACCTGCAAACTCACGGGCTCGCGCCTTCACATGGCAGACGCGAAGTTCGCACCCCCCTGTGCTGGATTGTCGTCCCCCGCTCCTGGTTACCTTGTCCACGTCGGCTCGCCTTCGCGTGTCCCCGCTCATCCCCCCTCTTTTCTTCTTATCTTGCAGGAGTTCTTTCAGGAAGAGAACTACACGTCGCTCGTCCACGTTCGGGAGAGACTCAAGGAATTTATCCGGAAGATGAACTCCTCCAGGTGCGCCTCGGTCGTGTGTGCTTGTTGTTGTTGTTGCTACTGCGCGTGACGGGGGTTGGCCCAACCGCAGCGTGCGGTCGGTGGGAAGGATCCAACGGTCGATACGGGAGACGGTCCACACGATGACCATGTTGTGTGTCACAAACATACACTTGTAATGCGTAAGATGTTTACGGGAGACGTTCCACCATATTGTGTGCCATTAATATTTCCATGGTTTCCTGTATTGTCGGTATGGCATCCCGAGATGCGTGCACCATGCATACTCAATTTTTTACAGGAAGGTAGGTGGATACCCACGTTTGTTCGGAGAAGAACATACGACATAAATTCCACCGAAGATGCCGCACCTTTTCTTGGCTGGAACTCCACCCCTTTGCTCAGGTTGTGGGAGATTCCACTTCCGTACGTTCACGCACCACCTATCGACGCTGGGATATGTCCTCCCCAACACCTAGCAAATACGCAAAGAGTAAAATTAACACACAACCCCCGCATTGTGTATTGGCTGCCCGAAAACCTACACCCCAGTGACGATAGACGCCTTATTTTCTTCTCTTCCACGGTGCACGTGTTTTTGCCTCTTGTTGCAGACGCCCTCGGGCGAAAGCCGCCAACCTCGCAGACGTGCGAAAAGGGGCGGATAGGGGAAGGCGAGGAGGAGGAGGAGGAGGAGGAGGAAAGTCCGATACCCTCAGAGAGCGCAACGAATGTGCCAACAACGAAAAGACTCTCCGCAAAGCTCTGGTGTGGGCCGCGGGGGCTCTCGCCAAGATTCAGGTACAGCAAACTATGCTTGTTTCCTGGGGTGCAACACGTCGGGAGATCGCGTTGTTTGCGGTGGTGCTAGGGCGTCGTTGTTGTCGTCATTGCCACTCTTTGTGCTTCTGTTGTGCTCTCTCTCTCTCTCTCTCTCTCTCTCTCTCTCTCTCTCTCTCTCT